GCTGCTTTAACATTTTAAAATTTTTAGTTTATTTTAGTTTGAAAGAGTATCTCACTTTGTCACCCAGGCTGGAGTGCAGTGGCGTAATCACAGCTTACTGCAGCCTCAACCTCCTGGTCTCAGTTGATCCTCCCAATTCAGCCTCCTGGGTAGCTGGGACAACAGGCAAGTGCCACCACCATACCCGGCTAATTTTTGTATTTTTTGTAGAGACAGGATCTCGCCATGTTGCACAAGCTGGCCTTGAGCTCCTGACCTCAAGCAGTCTTCCCACCTAGCCTCACAAAGTGTTGGGATTACAGGTGTGAGCCATTGTGCCTGGACATTTTTTTTATTTGTAGATAATAGCACTTATGACTGCTACTGTGACTCTAAATGTTTTTAGATGGCAAAGAGATGAGTTATGATAGAAAGGGTGTTAGACTATGATGCTAAAAAAAATCTGGGATGTAGGATTCTAAGCCATTTACAAAGTCAAGGTAGTAATATCTTTGTGCTTTGGTTTCCTTTGGTGTAAAATTGGAAGAATAATACCAGATGCCAGAGGTATGGTATAAGGCATAACATGGCGGTTAAGACCTTTAACCACTGTGGTGGGTGGTTAAGAGCTTTAACCAGCATGGTGGTTCAAGATCAGGATGCTGAAGTTCAAATCCTGGCTGTCCAATTGTGTGACCTTGGGCATATTCCTTAAGCTTCCTGAACCTTGGTTTTCTCATCTTTAAAATGGGGATGATAATAGTACTACCTATCCCATGCTTTTGTGAGGATTGAGTCAGACCATCCTTCAGACGCTTAGTGCTGTTCTTTGATCTCCTGAATCTCTGCGTGTCTTGTGAGCAGAGGCAGACATTGATTACCTTTTATCCTGCACTACCTTTTCAAGGATTACCTTTTATTCTGCATTACCTTTTCAAGCTGTTTTCAAGAGAACAGCTTTGGAGGTTGAAATATATCTCCTTCCAGAGCAAAGGGTAAGTATGTTTACTACCCAGTATAATAAAGATGTCTCCCTTCAGTGCTGTGAGCAATGAACTCCTTCAACCCTGAGCAGGAGTCTTGTGTCTTCTACCAACATCCATAAAATGATGGCAGGCAAACTTGCCCATATCTGAGGAGTTTCCCAGGATGTGGACCTCTCAGTGCTAAAAGCAAGAAAGTCCTGGGCAAACTGAAATGAGTTGCTGGCAAACTGGAATAGGTTGGCCACCCTAAAGTAGGGTCAAATCTCAGAGCCTCTGCAGTTTTGGACAAGCACAGTCTTTGCCACATAGGAAGCAATCAGCAACTTGTAACTTGCATTGCTAGTATTATATAAAGAAAAAAATCTGGCATAAGTTGAAGTGTTTTCAAAATATGAAATAGTCTATACATATTATATGACTGAATAAATTTGATGTGCTGGCAGATTTAGAAAATCTTAAAATCAAATCAGATAGCTATGATGAGCATAGCTTTTATATATAGAATATTGACACAAATTTTATAGATATAAAATATAAGTAACCTTTTATTTCAATATAAGTGTTTTAGTATCATTCTATTTATGAATTCTTACTGTATTAAGGTGGGTGTTTACATGTTCCTTTCTACATTTTTTGATTGTTTTTATCTAACTTAAAATATCCCCTCTCCTCCTCTTAGGCACCATGATAACATCCCTTTGTCCTAGAGGACACTTGCCAGGGTGTGTCCTGTGCTCTTCTCTTCACTGGTTTTATCTCTCGCTCAGGGAGCAGACACATGATTGGATCCTCATTTTGAGATTTTATTACTTGTGAGAGACAAGCCATATATTATTTCATTGATTTCTTGCAAACTACAGCTCACAATTCTGACAATACCAATTGATAACAACATTTTTAATCTTTTATAAGTTTTTGTAGAGGTTATTGGCACGTTACACACAAACTGACCTGATTAATTTGTTAAATCGTGTGGGTCACAGTCAAACAATCTAATTCCAAATTTAGTTCTTTATAATAACATTTACATGTATATAAGCAAAACTGGTTAATGTAAAAAGTACATGTACAAAGTAAAATAAACTACTGAAGGGATTTCGGCCTTTGGAAGAGGTTAGTGATTCCCCCTCCCCTCAATTTTAATAAGTAAAACCAGTTATATTGTTTATAAAATGAGAATTGACTACTTTCAGTCTGTATTATAGTCAAAGTTGATAAACTAGCTTCACTTTGTATGATATTCACATTTGAACTGTGTATCAGTGTAGACATAGAAAAGTCACAAATTTGAAAGATTTAACGTTTAAAAATAAGCACTATTAGGAGAGTCTAGAGCCACAGATTATCTTTAGCACCTCAATCAATAGAGATAAAAATGTTACAAATTAGGTATTCTATCATATTCTTCTGCTTTCTACTGAGTGATGATGGATTTTAGTGTTAGTTTGTTGTTCCATCTATGGTTTCTTTTAGTCTATGATCATTATTTTTATTTTATAGGCAGATAGAACATTACGGGTATAAAAAGCTCTAGCATGTATCTAGTCAACTCTCCCATTTTGCTGAAGAGAAAACTGAGGCTCAGCAAGGTTGCATCATCCAGGTCACAGAATTAATTAATGGTTGAGCCTCATCAGGAACCCAGGCACAGTAAAGTTGGTGAGAATGTCATTTCCTGTTACTTTTTAAAATTTCTCTTTCATATATTTAAATCTGGCCTTCACATATCAGGTCAACTAATATGAACAATAATGACCGAATATCTAATGTGGTATCTGGTGGTGAAGTGGGTTTTTGAATGTCTACGAACTGACTGCATTATTATAGGTGTTTCGGTATCTATCAGATCATATCTCCACCATTACTTATGTACTTATTTTTGAATTCTTTCTTAGTAGACGTACAGATTGTATTACATTTGGTTTCTTTTGTTAAGATCAAGAAAATATGGACTCTAGTATAGGGAATATGTTTTATGTGTATGAAATTTGTTACTTATTCAGAGATTGAAATGACTATATTTTACAAAAGATTTTAAGTACTGTGTTCAGCAAGGAAGTTTAAAGGTCACAGAGATTCTACTGTGAATAAACCATTGTTCAAGGTAATTTCCATGAATTATGTAATTAAAAATTCATGCAACTCTATGAAAGAACTACTGCATTCTATAGATGAGGCTGAGAGAGGTTGTTATTATAGATATCTACTCGTGGGAGTGAAGCTTGATAGAACCGAGATTTCAGCCCAGACATTAAGTTCCAGAGCCACACGTAGTCATAGCAATATAAAATAAGCCAGAAAGTCTGCTTATCACATAATATTGTATGAAAGAATCAACAGTTAAGAGAATAGAATTCAAATTAATATTGGTTCAATAACTAGGTATAGATTAACAACATTAAATATAAGAGGAAAAGTTTAAAGTTATTCACCCATGGAAGAAAAGCGTACTTCTAAAACAGGAGATGAAAAAGTAAACTTTTACCAATACTGGCAGAAAAATATGAGCCAGTCATGACTTGCTATTATAATTTTTAAAAAGTGTAATAAAAATCTAGAATTTATGAACTAACAGTTACATTTCCACCATGGTTAGAATTTGTAAAATTGCAGTTCTGTCTTTTCTTCTCAATTTATAATCCACTCCATTAGTAAAAAGCTATAACCACAAATCTCTGTGATAAATTTTTTTCTGTCTTGGGCTTTAAATGAGGCTGTTATGGAACATCACTCCTTAGATCCTAGAGAGACTTTTGCCTGACAGAATGCTCTAAAGCTCCATTTTAGATCCTTCTGAGATTTTAGTACAAAATTTTATGGTCCCACCTGGATTTGATGTTTGCTCTGAAGTTCTATCTTAATTTGAGAATTTTGGAGAGGCCGAGAATAAGAAACAATTTTTTAATTGAACTCAACAAGTTTCGGTTCCTTTATATTTAACAGTTCTTCTTTAACTTTGCCTCTCCTTTATATTTTATTACCTGAAACACACCAGGGAGTAGTTTGAACAGTCTTTGTGGAAATATCCTTAGGTAGACCACATTGCATTGAATATGTTTTTGACTTTCCATGTGGACCACAGGTGACAGTGCTGCTAAACTTTTTGCTACTCCATAGCAAAGATCCTCTTTCCTCTAGTTTCCAGCAACATTTTACTCACTTTTCTTCAAGCTGTCACTGATAGCCTCCTTGAAGGCCCAAAGGCTTCTGCTAACAATTCTGAAAGGGAGACATCCTGAAGATGCTTGCAACCGGAAGCTGTCCGCTAACCACGTTGCTTGCAGCTGATTCTCTCTTGAAGGAGTATTGAGCAAGTCACCTTCATGGTCACCACATATGACATTCATGCCAAGCCACGTTCTTGCTTCCACCAGCTTTTTAGGCTTCTCTCCCGCCATTGCCAGCATCTCACTCTGTATTTTTTGCCACACAAAGCTTGCATTACCTCAATACACCTTCAAATCACATAAAACCATAACCTATTCCAGGCTGAATTTGGTGCCTCTGAGCACCCTATAACACTTACAATACTGTAGGTACTTTCATAACACCTTTGAAAGATCTTTATTACTGTATTGTGGCATTCTGTGGTACCTGGATTAAAGTTTTAGCTCTGATACTAATTAGCTTTGTGACCTTGGCCAAGTTATTGGGCCCCTCTGAGGCCTCATCTTTAACATAGGGATAGATGAAGTCTGAGCTTCATCATTAACATAGGGATAATAATACCATTTTTCTCATAGGATTATTGGGATTACATGTGATAATACAGGTAAGTGCTTAGAAGAAAATCTAGCAGAGTAAATGCTCAATAAGTATTAGCCATGATTATTAATGATCTGAACTAATGGACAGGATATATTCATCGAGATTGCTGGATTGCAGAGCAAAACTGACATAAAGGTGACTCTGCTTCATCCCTCAAAGCACTTCTGTTTTTAGGGAGATAGTGTAGATCCCTACCTCCTCAAGAGGTAGGATGTAAACTGAGTCATCAGAATTATCTTTGTCAACCTTTCCCACCTTCTGTTTTAGGTCTACAGGACAATCCTTGGTTCTGTGACTGTCGTATTTCCAAAATGATCGAGTTGTCAAAGGTTGTTGACTCTGCTATAGTGCTTCTGGATCCACTGATGACTTGCAGTGAACCTGAACGCCTCACAGGAATTTTGTTTCAGCGGGCTGAATTGGAACATTGTCTGAAACCATCAGTGATGACCTCAGCCACCAAAATCATGTCTGCTCTCGGCAGTAATGTTCTACTGCGGTGTGATGCCACTGGCTTCCCCACCCCACAGCTCACATGGACCAGATCTGACAGCTCGCCAGTTAATTATACAGGTATTTTCTTAATTCAGCCCCATGATCAAAGGAGTTTACTAAGCTCTGAAGTTAACATCATGTTTTGTGTGATTTGAAATTAGCTAGTTAACACTAATAAAATATTTCAAGATTATTGGGTGCAAGGGATTTTAAAGGTACATTTTATTGGTTAGTATTCTCCTCAGTTTATCTAACTACCTAGATAAAATTAGACAATCTAAACTTTTTCTTAGGTAGAATGAAACAATGCAGTGAATGGATCAATGGCAGACAAGGCCTTTGTCTTGCTTCATCATCTTGGATACAGCTCACTTCAAAATATACAACTATTACAATTTTTTAAAAAGGGCCTTTTGCTGGTCGGGTGCAGTGGCTCACGCCTCTAATCCCAGCACTTTGGGAGGCTGAAGTGGGCAGATCACCTGAGGTCAGGAGTTTGTGACCAGCCTGGCCAACATGGTGAAACTCCATCTCTACTAAAAATACAAAAAGTAGCCGGGCTTGGTAGTGCGCACCTGTAATCCCAGCTACTCAGGAGGCTGAGGCAGGAGAATCGCTTGAACCTGAGGGGCAGAGGTTGCAGTGAGTCAAGATTGCACCACTGTACTCCAGCCTGGGTGACAGAGTAAGACTCCGTCTCCAAAATAAAACAACAACAACGACGACAACAAAAACGCCGGGTGGAGCAAGGCTTTTGTACAAGTCTCTCATTTTTGAATAATTATTTAAATAATAAATTACATAGAGACCTTATTATGAATCAAAAAGTATAATTTTTAGAAATATTGATTATATAGACTTTTCAGATTCTAGTGTGACAATATGCATGCTTTGTACCCAGTTTCAAGAGTGTTATTCTGACAATTAAAGTGATATATTTTTAAAACTCTTCAAAATTAAACTAAAATTCAGGTTGAAATAATGAAACCTGCTGGAAATAAAGAAGTTAAGGTCTAATGTTCCTATATATAGATAGTCAATGGTCCACAGTTTCAGCTTGTGAGTTAAGTTTTGGGTTACTGGGATATTGTTCTGTGCATTATTATTCTTTGAAAAGCTTCTGAAATCAAGACAGAATGAAAATATACCCAGATATCAGAGTTTAGGATAGCAAAAATCTGATTTTTAAAAAAATTATATGTTATTCTGTAAACAGAAGAATCCATGATTTGCTAGTTTATCTAAGTTAAATATAAAATAAATCATTCCAAATACAAATGATGACTCTGCCATGCCAGAAAATGATCTGCTGTACCTCTGGCTAGAAGGATATATGCATTTTATTACCGTGAAAACATATCATAAGCAATACTTATGTAAGGTCATATGATAAACATTCTATAGAATCGCAGTGACTTAAAACTGAAAGGGACCTTTTAGATTACTTTATCTCATCCTCTTATAAATGCAGAAACAGAGGCCTAAAGACAGGAATTGACTTATTCACAACCACATGCTATTTAGTGGGCAAAAGTTTCAAAACCCAAGTCTCCTGATTCCCAGCCTTTTATTTTTTAAAAATACTGTTCCCTATACAGACCTCACAACACCTGGCAGCTCCTAGACCTTGATGTAAGCAGTTTGCAGAACCATCGCCCACTGTCAGAGACTTGCAGGGTGCCATTTCCCTCTCGGTTTCTGTGAGAGATGCATGTAGAGCGGATAGTTGTTTCCTCCTCAGTTGGCATGGTTGCTTGAATTTTCCTTTTGTTCCTCACAGAGTATACATTTGTTTTCTTCCAGTAATACAAGAATCTCCAGAGGAAGGAGTCAGATGGTCCATAATGAGCTTGACAGGCATTTCTTCCAAAGACGCTGGGGATTACAAGTGTAAGGCCAAAAATCTGGCTGGGATGTCAGAAGCTGTGGTTATTGTGACAGTGCTTGGCATTACCACAACTCCGATACCACCAGACACTTCTGAAAGACCTGGATATCATCCTGAGTGGGATGCCCAGCCGGGATCTGGAAGATCTACATCTAGCACATCATCATATCCTTGGTCCTCTTCCTTCTCCCCTACATCTTCTTTTTCTGCTTCTACTTTGTCTCCTCCCTCTACTGCTTCCTTCTCTTTATCTCCTTTCTTCTCCTCCACTGTTTCTTCAATCACAACTCTGAGCACAAGCATCTCAGCCACCACCATGGCCAACAAGCAATCATTCCAGCTCCACCCAGATGGGAAAAGAAATTTAAAGGCAGCAAAGAGTGGAAGTAAGCTTCCTCCAGCCAGCACAAGGAAGAAAGAAGAGCTGGCATTGTTGGATCACACAATGCTTACGGAGACAAATGCCACAATAGAAAACCTCAGGGTGGTCAGTGAGACTAAAGAGAGTGTGACATTGACGTGGAATATGATCAACACCACACATAACTCTGCAGTGACTGTGTTGTATTCCAAGTATGGTGGGAAGGACCTGCTGCTGTTGAATGCAGACTCCAGCAAGAACCAAGTAACCATAGATGGCTTGGAACCTGGTGGGCAATACATGGCCTGTGTCTGTCCAAAAGGAGTGCCTCCCCAGAAAGACCAATGCATCACCTTTTCTACCGAAACAGTAGAAGGAGATGATTCTCAATGGTCTCTCCTTCTCGTGGTGACCAGTACTGCCTGTGTTGTTGTCTTACTATTGATTTGTTTCTTGTTGTACAAAGTTTGCAAACTGCAATGTAAGTCAGAACCTTTTTGGGAAGATGATTTGGCAAAAGAGACTTATATCCAATTTGAGACCCTGTTTCCCAGGTCTCAAAGTGTAGGTGAGCTCTGGACACGAAGTCACAGGGATGACTCAGAAAAATTGCTGCTTTGTTCGAGGTCAAGTGTGGAATCTCAGGTGACTTTTAAAAGTGAAAGTTCCAGACCAGAGCATTATTGCTAAGGTTGTGCAGCTCAGGTGCATGTGAGCTACAAAATTAGCATCTAAGGGTATAATTGACCCTAGGTTTGGATGACTTTTGGACAGACTTTCACATTGTGTGTGAAAATCACAAATGGAATGCTTTTAAGTGTGTTTAAAAAATAGCATGAGACCTCTGAACTGAAAAGACAAATAACGTTGATTTTTTTTCTTGTGTGGAAAAGGTCTACAGAAATAATTTTTAGAGTGTTGCTTACTAAATTATTAATACTTTTTAGGGTACTGTTTTAGTTCTTAAAAATAAGTTCATATCCGAGACGGGCGGATCACGAGGTCAGGAGATCGAGACCATCCTGGCTAACACGGTGAAACCCTGTCTCTACTAAAAAATACAAAAAACTAGCCGGGCAAGGTGGCGGGCGCCTGTAGTCCCAGCTACTCGGGAGGCTGAGGCAGGAGAATGGCGTAAACCCGGGGGGCGGAGCTTGCAGTGAGCTGAGATCCGGCCACTGCACTCCAGCCTGGGCGACACAGCGAGACTCCGTCTCAAAAAAATAAAAAAAATAAAAAAAAATAAGTTCATATGAAAGTAGCAAATGAACTCTGTATTTAAAAATACAGTTTTTTGAGTAACGAGGAAACATTAGCAAAGCCAGCTAAGCCTTGATGTTTATTCATGTTCGAAGTGCATTATGGCATTTTCTGTGGACGTTTTCTGACGTTGCCTAATGGAGAGTGTGGGATCACAAAGGATTTTTTGTTCACTAAGGTTAAATCTAACTCATGGGGGAGGGAGGGCTCTGTCTCTTCATACCATTATACATTGTAATACTATAGAGTTGTGTTCATATTGCATGTAAGAAAAATGTTTGCTTTTCTTTAGAAATATAGGTATTAGTAAAAGTAAGTATACAAAGAGGATTATGACAAATAGACCATTTCTTTAAAAATGGTAACTGTTGCATTGAAACACATCTGCTGACAGATAATATGGATATTTAAAAATAACTTTAAATCAGTCTTTTAATATTTTGCTATTTGCTCTTATTTTCTCTCTTCTTTCTTCCTTCCTGGTCTTCCCTCCCTTTCCTTCCTTCATTCCTTCTTTCTTCTGCTTTGTCAGAAGATATACAAGTGGCCAAAGAATCACAAGCCAAGCAGTTTGTCTTCTGCCATATTATCTTTTGATTTCTGTTGATAAAGAAAAAGCTTTTGAAATTACTTACTGCCCTTTGAAAGTCTGTTTTAGAACCCCAAAGGATAGTTGAGGATTTTGAAAGGGAAGCCTCAGTAGATTCATTTGGTTAGACTCTTTTCCTAGGTTAAAAACATCGGGGAACTTAAGTACATAGGAAAGGAGTTCATAAATAAAATTTAGCTTTTTTAGAAAGGGAATATTTTAATAACTGTAGTGTACTATAAGAGACATCTTGTGGCTTTAAGATTAATGATAGTGATAAGACCCACTCAAGCATCTCACAGGGCTGATATTACATGCAACTTAGCAGGATGCAACCTGGCCCAGTGATTTCCAGGAGACAAGGCCACCTCAGCACAGATGCAACTTTCATAAATCTTAGAACAAAGCCTACCCTTACTAGATTAAACCTGCTCTATGAAAGAAACACTTGGTAATTGACCCAGACTGAATACATGTATAAGAAATGGGAAAGATCTCCCAAACTCTGAGAATTGTCCTCAAATAGAAGCCCTCCTAGTCAGTTGGTCATCTGACCTCTGACTATATCCGGCCCATGACACCAGCCAACTCCTGCTTTCCTTGTAAGAGGATGAAATTTAAGTAAGTCAATGAGTGACGACACCCATTTCTATAGGAGGATCAAGAGAGAGTGGCCAGGCGGCCTGGCTCTGATCGAGAGATTGGTTGAGATCTGAGGAACACTCTACAGTGGGTCTGGCAGTTTTTGTTCTATTTTCACATATGTTGCTGCCTTCTACCTTCACTTCATGCCTCTGTTTTGGAGGTAGACACCAGACAAAATTTGCCAAAATTACTTTTAAGACTACTCTGGTCGCTGGCGCGGGTCAAGCCTTAACCCAGCACTTGGAGCCAACAGGACAGAGTGGAATGAACATCCTGGCAACACGGTGAACCCGTTACTAAAAAAAAAAAACTAGCGGGCAGGTGGTGGCGCTTGTCCCAACTACTCGGAGCTGAGGAGAGATGCGTACCGGAGCGGAGCTGAGGAGCTGAGATCGGCCATTGACTCCAGCCTGGCAGCAGAGCGAGACTCCGTCTCAAAAAAAAAAAAAAAAAAAAAAAAGACTACTCTGTTCCCACAGGAAGGTGGGCTCCTAGGAGGAGGGTGGTAGGAATGCTGTAAGCTGGGGGACACCCTGGGCTTGAAGAGCCACCCACCAACTGGTGTGTCTCTAGCCTCAGCTATGGGAGAGGAGCTCCCCGTCCCCAAAGGTCCTGGCATCATGACCCCACAGACCAAGAAGGCTCAAGTACAGCTTCTCCACAGAAAGCTTATCTGTTGCCCGCCAACCGGGGAAAGAGACTCTTCTCCAACAGACCCCTGGTCTAATGCTGTTAGCAAAGCCACCAAATCACCAACAGGCCTGTTGCTGCTATCTCTGTTCCTCTGCACGCTCCCAGTGAGACAGTGCGGCTTCCCCAGGGCTTTACCACCCCTACAATGCCTACTGGGTGCTGCTGGCAGCAGCCCATGCGCAGCACATCCAAATCACGGGGCTCCCTCACCTCAGAGTTGCCACTCTGCACCTGGCTGCCCTGGAGGCCTGTGAGCTGCTGCGTGATCATCCTGAGTGTGCCAGATTACCCCCAGTGGCACCACAGGCATTGCCAGTCACCTCTTGGCCACAGTTAAGAAAGCAGCTGCCACCTCCAGAAACAGCTAGGGTGAGGAAGAACGAATCCCAGATCCCAAAGCAAGCACTCTCTCTAGCAGGACTGGGTTAGTAACCATCAGAGTCGGTTGTTACAAAGTGAGGTTCCTCCTTGTCTTGGCTCCCTTTGGCACACTCCACTTCCTTTTCCACTTCTCTGCCATGCTGTGACATGGCAGAGGCCTCACTGGAAGCTGGTCAGATATAGTGGGCAGATCTTTGACTCCTAGGCCTCCAGAATTGTGAGCCAAAGTAAACCTCTCTTCTTTATAAATTACTCAGTGTCCTGTTCTGGTGACTCTCCCTTACTCCTGTCCATTCTGTTATGACCACAGAAAACAGACTAAGGAAATTCTTATGGATAGAAGATGCATTCTTACCTTAAATCTTAGAAACCTCAGCATATGACGGTTTTTTTTACCTTATTAGGTCAGGAACTTTCACCTTTTCATGTAAAGGAAGCAGTTGACGGCTTCTCTTTGGCATATCCAAGTTGCCTGAGTCACTATTCTTGTGCTTTGGGACCACTGTCAAGTAAAATAAGTATTACTGGAATGCAAGCACCATGATACCACGACGGTCCATCTGATAACTGTGGCGCCTCCTAAGTGACTGATGGGCGGGGAGTGCATGGTGTGGATCCTCCAGACAAAGGGGTGGCTTACATCCTGGGTGGGATGGAGCAGGATGGCAAAAGATTTCATCAGGCCACTCACAGCCACACCTCCTGGAAACACTCAGAGCCCTACTTGCGCTTGGCAGCCATATGAAACGGACAAAACCTGAAACTCTAGCTTGATTGGACCACCTCCAAGATCAACTTAAAATTTATGAATTGTTTATTTGTAGATTTCCCATTAAAAATTTTCGGACTGTGGTTGAAATTGGGTATCTGAAAACATGGAAAACAAAACGTCGGATAAGGGGGTACTACTGTAGGCCCTTTGACACAGGCAGAAATTCGAAGCCCACTCAAACACCTGATACGGAGGCCCAACAGGAAAGGTGCCACCTGGCTGTACTGTGCATACTGAACAAGAAGGGTCTACAATTCACAGGCCAAGAATACAACAGCTGGCAGCTATCTCCAAAGATGGGAAGATTGATTTCATTACTTAACGATCCTGTCAAGTTTATCCAGGAAGCACAGTCAGGTGGGACTCTGGGCCCAGAGCAGGCAGGCGTGACAGAAGCTACTCCTGTGCTCTGTCGCATTGACTGTTTATGGCCTGGCAAGCAGCACACTCCAGCATGAGCCTCCTTACAACCAGGGCTGAACTGAAAGTGGATGATGTACCTACCACAAAGGAAGGAAGAGAGCTACTGAGACATTTAGGTGTGCTCCAGTGGGTTTATACACCTTCCGTCTTCACAGGACAGAGGCAACACTCATAGCCCTTAACCCCAACTTGAGTCTATCTGGTCTATGAGGAGCTACCTCGTGCACAAAAGCTTCTCTACCTTCACCTCACAGACACATTTTGGGCCCAGGCACTGCCTGTGTACCTCGTATCAGGATTACAAGGGCCCCTGCCCCATCAGGCCCTCTTGGACCAGACATAGACTTCTCTACCTGCTGGAAGATACCTTCACCGTTAATACCCAGGATAGCCATGGAGACTGGCCCACCCACCTCGACTAATTGCTACCTGGCATTTGCCTAGTAGGCCGCCCCCACCTCAGTTTCTATGGCCTGCACCTCCTAGAAACCTCAGTTGTGCTGGGCAGCCATCTGGGATGGACAAGACCTGAAATTCTGGCTTCACTGGACCACCTCCAAGATCACACTTTTGCATCTACAACATCCTCCAGTGCATAGTGTCTGCAGACATTACTGCTTAGTTCTGAGTTCTCCTGGTCCTCCTCTTCCATTCTGGCCTGTCACTGCTCTGCAATTAAGCAGCTCCAAGCCTGATACTGCCAAGTCCATTCAACTCCTTTTATATCCCTAGAGCCATTTTCCAAGCCCCAGTGTGCCTGCTGTCTTTCACTGCTCCAGCTGGCCCGACATTGCACATCGAGATGTTGCTTCTTAAGACCTATTCACTGATTACTCAGCACTGAAGTCACTGACAATTTCCACAACAGGGTCATTTTGGTCACCCACTGAGTGGCCAAATCCGGCTTGCTGACCATCCCTTCACCAACCTTCAGCCACTTGTCCACTCTTCACAGTCAAGCCCTGGTTACTGTCAACTGCCCCTCCTTTGCCATTGGTGAGACTGCCACATATCCATGGTGAGACTGCCCCCTATCCATGGTGAGACTACCCCCTAGCCACGGCTGAACCCTGCTCTCATGATCTCCCCTAATTGCTCAACTGGATGCTGGACTTGCCATACCCCCTCTGCCGATGCAGTTCAGCTCCCACTAGGTGGTTCCAAGGATGCCACTCATTCCTGTCTTACCTTCATAATATGCTTTCTGCAGGACATCCCAATGCTGATTGGGGTATCTGGACTCGCTGGCAGGGCACGTCTCACCTGGTTGCCCAAAGAGGGTGTAGAGGTCCTGTTCTGGTGACTCTCCCTTACTCCTGTCTACAGTCTCACCT